GAGAGAGAGAGAGAGAGAGAGAGAGAGAGAGAGAGAAGGAGAGAAAAAAAGAGAGAGAGACGCGAACGGTCAGCCGCCCACGCCCGTGCACCCGTGGCCTGCTTACAACCCACCTTGTATCCCTAGGCTTTGTTTAGCAACCCTGAACAAGACGGCAGGGTCCTTGCCCCCCCAAATGATGAAAAATAAAAAACCCGACGAACGGCGTTCGAACGGCTTACATGTCCCGCCCAAGGAAATCACATGCACCTACAGCCGTAGGTTGCAGCACCTTTTCTTGAGCAAGGCAGAGCACAAGGCTCCGGTGAAGCCGCAGCATCATAGACTCCACGCGCTCCCCGATGCCGCCGCCACCCCCGCCCCCGCCACCGCCCGTTGCCGCCGCCAGCATCATCCACTTCCGGAGCGGAGAGCCCTTGACGAGGGCGGCGGCCGCTCCCGCCGCCGCCGCTCTCACCTGCGGGGCAAGGTCACTCTCCATGATCGACACCAGCCCGGCCGGAAGCACCACCGGTCTCGTGCTCCCTCCGCCGCCTTCCGATGCTTCTCCCGGTGTTGCTGCTGCCGCGTCGCCGCCGCAGGCGCCGCCGCCGCTTACGGCACCCGGCACGCACGGCGCGAAGAACAGCGCCCAGTGCGGGTACATGCTCTTGGCGTCCTTCGCGGCCATGGACTCCAGCAGGGCCAGGGCCTGGAGCCTGACCCGCGCCCTGGGATCCACGAGAGACGCCGACGCGGACGACCTCGTGGGCGACACGCCTCCTGCGCCTCCGGCGCCACCGCCGTATCCGCCGAAGCCTCTACCGTTTCGGCTCCGACTCGTGCTGCCGCTGGTACTCCGGCTCCTACCGCGTCCGCTGGCCCCGCGCGTGGCGGCGGCCGTGGTGGCCGCCCCCGATCTCTCTCCTTCTCCCGCCGGCTGCACAAGGTGGTTGAGAGCGTGCACCACGCGGGCGAGGTACGGCTCGAGCACCGGCGAGACCCCGGCCTTCCCGATCGCGCAGGCGAGCCCGCGAGTCGCCGACGCCAGGATCTTACGCTCACCCGGCCCGCCGCCGCCGCCGCCGGGTGTAGCAAGAGACACAGCAGCAGCTGTGGTCGCTGTAGAAGGCGAGGAGGAGGAAGCGAAGGCTCGCCAGTTCGCAACGAAGTTCCGGGTGAGGCAGGAGCAGGTCATCTGCCGCTGCGGCTCTGCGAAGCCCGCCCAGTTCTTGAGGCAGAGGTTGGCGAGCGCATCCAGCGCGGCGTGCCTTCATGTGTACGGGAAATGAGACGGCGAGCACGTGCCGGGGGAGNGGGGGGGGGGGGGGGGGGGGGGGGGGGGGGGGGGGGGGGGGGGGGGGGGGGGGGGGGGGGGGGGGGGGGGGGGGGGGGGGGGGGGGGGGGGGGGGGTTGACCGTGGGGGAAACCTTGAGTAAAAACAAGTGCAGGCTCCAGATTGAAAGTATTACGAAGGCGTGGGGCGTCGATTCTACGCCGTGCGCCTTAAACGAACTCATTATTTTGTTTCTAGACAAAAACAATTAGTAGACCCCACAAAACCACTTCAGTTGAGTATTCAATATGCACAGAAATCCCCCGAGAAAAAAAAAATGGGCGTCAGTTGTTCGAAGCCCCCACCAGAATCAACGAGGCTTGTAGTATACCCTACGGGAACGCGATGAACTCGTTCAAAAACAGCCTACAAAATCCCACCAAGAGGCCAAACCTCATTCGTCCTCCTCCCCTATTAAGCTTGCCAAACGTCCCCACCGTTCATTCACCTGGTGTCTAGGTCGATCGCCGAAGGGTCCGCCAGTCGGAGAAGCGGCGGCACGACGTCGTCGAACCGCGTGCCTAGGCGCTCGCCGTTCTCGTAGAGAAGCTGCGCCAGGGCTCGAGTGCAGTCGCGTTGGAACGACAGCGGCCGCGGCGGCCGCAGCGGAGGCGGCAAGTTTTCCTCCGCGGGTGCCGGCGGCCGCGGCGGTGCTACCTGCACCTCGGCGTCCGCGGTCGGCAAGCAGGCCACGAACAGGTCCAGCACGATGTTCAGCTGCCACGCCAAGAAGGTCACCCTCTGCTGGTTGGCACAGAGCTGAAGTGACCGTGCACGTGGCCGTCGTCGTCGGGGATTCGTCGCCGGAGCGAGAGACATGGGTCGTTCGGGCGGGTCGGGTGCACCAGCACGAGGAAGGGTTGAAGGGGGAGGCGCACGGGGGGTGTACTCATGGTCGTGTACTTGTAAATCGTAGTCGTTAGACGATTGACCTCGCATCCCTACAAAGCCGGGACGGAGCACGCCGGGTTCTCACCGGACCAGGCTCTCACATCACCCTGCGCGAAGCGCCGTGAGGTAATCGGCGAGCCGCATGAAGGGTGCGCTGCATTCTGCTAAGGGTGTTCGGCATCTTGTGCTTACTTCCTTGCGTACGGATGACAGCTGTGTATAACTCAATGTATTTTCTAATGGTTTCACTTCCAGCGACAGTTGTAAGAACTGTGTAACTGCCTCGAGGGTGCTTGACCATTCTAACACAACGTGGTGCGATCATCCCCCTTGCGCGGAGTGAGGGTTCTCGACCCCGCACAACATAATCTACTCGACCACCATTATGGTTACCGCCAAAACCTGGTTACCGAGCTCACGAAGTGAATTGGCTTGTTTTACAACGTCGTTGCCAAGCGACG